AAAGCTCAGTGTTGAGCAGCAGCTGATGATTCTATCATGGCTCTTTCAAAAATCTTTACTGTAATCCTCTGCTCTTGGGTCATGTGCTGACTAATCTCTTTCCACTTCCATTCCAAAGGCAAGAAACCATTCTTTCATGGCATGGGCTTCAATTTCAATAGTAGCTGCTACAAACCATACACCCTTAGCTCCACCAGCACTACTGGGTAATTATGAGCTTAGCACCATTTCTCACATGTTCTGCTTTCCTCTGCACAGTGCAGGCAGGTGATGCAGTTGCCCAAGAAGGATATCCCAGCTCCAAAGCAGAGCAAGGGAACCTGGAACCTCTGCTTCCACATGAGTCTGGAGGTGCTACTGATGGCAGAGGAAGTCACAAGACCAGTTCTGCCTGTGTTTGAGATCTGAGAGGGAGGAATGGAAGTGTTGCTCTAAACATTTATCCTTTTCACAAGTTGCTAGTGAGGAAATGCCACTTGTTGTCTGCTAGTGATCAGGGAAGTATGTATGGATAATTGATTTGATACTAATCTACTAAGAAATTATCCCTCATGGACTGAATCCCCTCCCTTGCCCCCCCTGCTGCCAGGCAAGTTTAGGGAGAGATTTGCCCCCCTCCCTGTGGAACTCACCTTAAAGTAAGGGAAGTGTTCCGTCATGAAATTGTAAATCTCACTGACTGGCAAACTCCCTGTCTTGCTGTTTTTGAGTGCCATGAAGATCAGGATGCTTTAAGGAGAGAAAGAAAAGGGTTTTAGCCTGTTCTTCTTGACTCCTTAGAAGGAGAAAAAAAGAGGTTTTCCCAATGTGTGTCACGACTCTGGCTGTCACTGCATGAATAGCAAGGGTGCTTCTAGTCTCCATGCAGCTGTTTATGAGCCTTCTCCTGACACTCCATTGCTGCTAGAGGTGATTGTCAAGCTGCACAGAGTGTCCAACCCGGGCTTAAAGTAATAGAAAGGGGAACCAAGACTACAGCCTTCAAATCCTGCTGGTGTGTGTTTATTCACGTTGTGTTTTAGTGCTCAGACTGATGGAGGCCTCCTAGGGAACATCAACCTGACAGTGAGAGAAGGTGTAATTAAAATTATCTGCTCTACTCTGGGGGCTAAACCTGTGCAGTGACTGGCCTAGCTGATATGTTTTCCAGGCATTTCCTTGCCCTAGTAACTGGAGGGAAAAACGAGTGTTAATACAAGGAAAAGCCAACTAAGAGTGATCAGTCTTGTGCTGATGAAATTTGCAACAACTCAGGTTTTGTCTGAGAGAAATGTCCAGCTGCTGTGGGGTGATCAAGGTTGTTCACTTGCTCTACAGCAATTCATTTCTCCCTTGGCCCCAGAGTCTGGAACATGCTGTGATTCATGCAAACAGGACAGAGCACACTGGGAACAAGACAAATAAGGGTAAGCATGTTATTGCAAATTATGCTGGAAATAAGCCATGGGCAAACAGTGTTTCCTGTAACATTAGGATTTGGGAAAAAGAAATAATAAATAATTACCTGTAGGAATAGATGGGTTTGGGAAACAGAGGCTGCTGGGATTCTTGACTGCTTTGAGGGGCAATTCTTTGGTAAGGGTAGTGTGAAGAAGTAATATAAGTCACAGGATAGCTGCCTCCTGAGGGATACTGGTGATGGAATAGAAGAGATGTTACTTAGCAACAAGTTGTCACAAACATTTCTTAATAACAGTATTAAACTATTTAATTGTGATGATGTTGTTCTCTGCCTACATTTAACAACATTTATGCCATGTCAGACCTAAAGCCTTTCTAGCATAGTACTGGAAATCATTAATGTTGCTGGTTAATGCTTACAAAGTAGACAGAGCATGTGTGAAGAGCAGCTCACTTCTGTGTTGGCTGCTAACAGATCCTGTTGCAGTCTGTTCCAAGTTAAGTATGTAAAAACCCAACAGCTTTATTTTATTATTGCCTGTTCTGCTACTGAGTTGTTGTGAAAAATGAAATAGTAGCCTATTAATCATCTCCAGGTCATAGAATCATAACTTATCTCCCTTGAGCCATCTCTTTTCCAGTTGAAGTATCTCACCTGCTCATCCACCCTCATAACATTTCACTCTGCAGACAACTAAGTCAATGTTATAATTTTATTTACATAAAAAAACCCCCCAGGATAAAGTACCTCAAAAAATGTGCACCACAGAAAAAGTCTGTTAAGTAAAATCACTGAAAACTGGGAGGAAACAGGAAAGTTTTTGCAGAGCCTGGTTTGGTTTTGTGTGTTTTTTGTTTTATTTAGATAGAGAGGGATCTACAGATGGTTATAGATTAGGTCCTATCTATGTTATTAGAGAAGAATATGTCCACTCAGGTGCATGTCACCCCATGGAGCAGGAGTGTGGCAGAGGAGGTTTTTCTCATAGGTGGTTTTTCTGTTGCCTGAACCTGTGTGGGTTCCCTCACAGGCAGCACCAAGGAGCAGCCTTTTCCAAGAAGCCAGGAGCTCAACTGCTGCTTAGCACCACCTCAAGTAGCTTCTTATTTTTCCCCCGTTGTCTTTATCAGAACCCTAGAAAGAACAGCTGGGACACCCCAAATCTGATAGCTTTGAGGCTGCCCTCACCTCACCCCTTGGGACAAGCAGCAGAATGTGACCTGAGACTGAAAGGCCAAGTTATCTCCAGGAGATCTCTGAGCCTGTCCAGCTCTTGAGACACACTAAAGACATGGCTGGCCTGTTGTGTGGTCACCATGATAGAAACATGTCAATGGAAAAAATAATAGGTGGAAGAGGGGAGATACTGCAGATAGCCTGGGTTGCATCAGGGTTTCTGCAGGCTTGTTCTCAATTTTTAACACAGCAGTTGGTAAGGTATTTTTCTTTTCCAAATGAGTTTAAACCTGCTGGCAAGCAACTTTCAAGAACAAAGAAACACTGCCCTGCTTAGGGAAGATACCATCGGTTGGCTCTCTGGGAGGCAAAGGCTCCCACTGAACTCAGGGCACAGTGCAAGAGGAATTTCTGCCTCTTACAGATGAATCTTCCCAGATGCCAGGGCTTGGGCATGGCCAGAATTAGGAGTCATATGTCATATGCTATTAAAAATCTTCTGTGCTTGCCTCCCCTAGCACTCAAAGACTGCTGAGCCTTGTTCTGCTGTTTTACTGCTTCCCTCTAGAACTCCTGTGTCAGGAGGTTTTCATGGCTCCCCTCAAAGGTCATTGTGTAGCTTTGGAGACTTGTTGGGAAAATGTTCTTGCTAATTAATTTACACTGCTCCTTGGTTTCTGATTGTCAAACCTATTTTTGGACCAGTAGCTTCTGTTGCCCTCAGTCTTTGTCCCCTTAAAATGCCTGTGAGAGGTTATCAAAATGTGCCTGCAAAATGTTTGTTGTTTATATATGTATTCTGGATTCTGAATAACTCATTTCAGCGCCTCAGTAATTCTGTTGCCTGAGTTTTTTGCCTCTTTGCATTTATCTTTCTGATATTGAACTGGAATGTGGAAAAACGTCTCAAATACAGGAGTTTGTTTGCTGCAGGAAGCAGGGTGAAAGGGATGAGATGTGCCTAATTAATCATGTCCTGGCTCATTAAACTAAACACTGGGCTAAACTGCAGTCTCCAGAGTAGCTGTGAACTGCTTCCCATGTGCAGCTCTGGGCTGCCTGCTTTGTTGATGTGAGCAGATTCCTGGCCAGAACAGAGAACTGGGCAATTCACAGACTCATCTTGGTTTTATTGGTTTCAGTGGCTCTTTGAAAGGAAGGGATACTAAGATGGGACTGGTTGTGATGTCATCGCAAGAACTGGGTGTTTTGGGGATTATTTCTGTTTTATTGGTGTCATTAATCCTTTCTGAGGGCAGAGAGGCTGGGGAATGGTCTGGTATGACAGGCTTGAGCTGGTTTTACAGTAGTGCAACTGGCATGAAAGGTGTCCATGTTTTATGGTGGGTGGGTAGGTGACTTCACTAAGTGTCTGCTGTTTCAGGTCAATAAGAAGTAATTTTTTCTTCTGAGTCACCATTGGTGTTGCCCTCAGCAAAGGGGAAGGTGAGGCCACTTTATCATTGGGACAAAACGAGCAAAGGGGTTGATCTCTCACCCCTGCCAGGAGAAGTGAGGTGCAGTTTGAACACCCCTCACTTCAGGCTGGAGGGCCTGTTCTCTTGAAGTGCAACTTCCTAGTGGTTTGCTCCATTCAAATTTGAAATGTAAAGTGTTAATACTGGAGCTGTTTGATGGAGAAGATGTTATTCCACTTCTTCTCAGTCTTGTATCACATGATCTTTCATTTCTAGTGTCTGATTATGCTGCATGGGCAGCAATTCCACCTGCTGTGACTTGGGCTACCTATGACCTTTTTTTCCTCTCTGAGTAGCAGAACACGTTGCCACACTTTTGCTACAGTAACATCAAGAAGCCCAGATATTGAAAAGCCTAACAGAAACCTGCTGCCTGTGAGATCTGTCACAGTGCCAGCCTGCAGGTGGATGGAAGACTTTCCTCTTGGTGCTTGTTGTGTCTTGCCCAGCAAGCCCCAGAAGGTGCATTTCAGCTTTAATTCTGTAGGTTTTTTTGAATGTGGTTTGTGCCAATGTATAGTAACAGCAGAGGTATCAAAGCAGCAGTGACAGGGGAAGGGTGCCTGCTTAGAAATTTAAAAATATTAAAATGAAACTCCAGTTAGCTTCTTCATTCTGCTAAAGCAACACTCCAAGCTGACATTTATGCTGTGGGGGTGATGTAAGGTGCTGCTGCACAGCCCCAGTGTCTGCACTGCAGCCCCAGTGCTGAACCAGCTGCTATTTGCTGCAGGGTTCTTATGGCAAGTTAATCCTTCATCTGGGATTCCCACTCCCCCCCCTTTTTTTTTTTAAAATAACAATACTAAAATCAATCAATTTGTAAGTTAAGAAGGTAATGTAATGTCACCTTCATTTTTATGAAGCTCTCCAGGGGGCTGATAAAGTTAGTCCTTATTTTATTCCCCTCTATATAGTGTCGTGATGAGACACCTTCCTTTGAGTTGTTGTAGTCAGGGGGGGATTTTATAATACACACTTAAAAATATGAGAAGTCACTACTGGGGTTTGAATGCTTTCATTTGTCCTTAGTAATGGTTTACAGAATTTCAACAAATGAAATTCCTGAACAGTAATCTGTGACAGATGATTGAATTTTATCAATGAGTGTAACATTCCCACATGTCAGTGGTTCTTTCTGGTCATTCAGGGTCTGTTTTCAGAAGTTAAATTTCCTTGTATAGACAATCATGCCAAAAATAGCCTTTCTTTTTCCTCATTAGGGACTAAATCCTGATGGGGAATGGGATGTTCATTATTTCAGTGACTCAGACTGGTAATATCATATGAATTCACAACCCCAAAGAAATCCCACATGGGAACCTATTTTCTTTGCACATTTTTAAACCACTGCTCTTCTGGTCCCATTTTTTGTGCTTCTTGAGCAAATTGGGATGGTACAATTGATTCCACAGCATCAGCCACTGGGATCAAAGGAGCTGTAACTCAAGTATGAGATGTTATGTTCAAATATTTGACATATATGAATTCCCTGTAACTTTAATTCAGTTTTAATTGTTGAGAGTTTTGATAGTTGTGCTGGTTTTGTGCACAGATTTCTGACCATATCTCTGAAAAATTCTCATTGCCTTGATTTCACCTTCAATAAGTTTTGGGGTCTTGTTTGTTTTATCTTCCTGAACATCTTTGTTACTGAAAATTTGGTACATGCAGATAAGGGAGCATAAAAGGGGGAAATCTCAACAGGTTGAACTTTTTGTATCTAAAGGAAATGATTTAAAGACATTTCAGAGTAAGGAAAATGGCTTTCAGTGATACAGAACCTCCCTGTGTGCCACGTGCTCAGAGGTCAGCAGACCACACTCACTAACCTGGATAATTATGTACTAGGAGCCCATGTCAGCTCAGGTATATGTGTGATTTTACAGGGATGTTGTGTGTTTATTGCTCTGGGAACGTGGGCTGAGAGGTGCTCAAATGACATCTAAACACACTCAAGAAAAACAAGATGTCAGTTACTCCTGCATGGTTTGAGTGTTAATAATACAGTTCCATTATGGAAGAACAACCTTAATTTTGCACATTCTGATGCATCATCAGCATTATTGTCAATTATGCTGCAGCTGAATAATCTTTCACTGGGGATGATGTAACAGAGATTGCAACAGAGCTGTGTGTGCCACCCAGCACAAGGGAATCTTGCTGTTGAAATTTTGCTTGAAAAGGGTTTTTCTGTGCTCAGCCTGCCTCTTAAAGCACCCAGTCCCATGTAGGGATGTTTTTATTCTGAAGTGAAATCACTATTCATTTCCTGGGATACTGAAATCCCAGCAGTTGTGTCAATAACTGATCTGGTTTCAAAGCCACTTTTCCTGATTATAATGGTGAAAATTAGTACCAAGATTCCCCATTTTTACAAGGTTGTTTTGGGTTCCCCCCCTTTTATTTTTTTTTTTTCCTCTAGATGACAATTTTACAAGGCATTTAGAGGTGGTTTTCCTAAGATCTCATTGTCACAAACCTGTGTGCATGAACATGGCCCCATCAGCACAACATTCACAGGTGTCGTTCCCTCTGCCTGTTGTGTTGTGACCAGAACTGCTGTGGCACCACCGTGGGGGGAGTGCAGGGGGGTTGAGTGTGGATATGGCACTGACCTGGTGGAAAGGGTGGGAGGGGCAGTACATCTGCTGCACTGGAGGCTGGTAGCAGTACAGCCCAGGCTGCCCCTCCAGGGGGGACGTCCGGAGCTTGATGTCTGAATCCTGCCAGGAAATATTTAAGGAGAGAGTTCTTTTAATGTGAGGGGTTTTTTCTCTACTAGAATTACTCTGTTTGTTACTGTTCTGGTTTGTCTTTCATTACACTTGATTTTCAACTTCATTCTGTCACAGTAACTGTTACATAGAATTTGTTCTATATACAAGTGGTACAAAAAGAAACGTTGTTTCCTGCATTTGTGTAAATACAGTTTGAAATAGGAAATCCCAGCCCAAGTTGCCTGCAAAGAGCAGCTCAGAAAATGACAGTTTCTGTCTATTTTTCCCCCCCTGCATACACAAGGTGCCCACCCCAGTTTCATTCTGGGGGTGCACGTGTCTCTGTCTTTTTCATGCCCCTGGACTGTATCTGCAGGTTGTCAGAACCTCAGGCTGGTGCTGGAGCTTTGTCATTAGGTAGAGACCAAGGGCTGTGATGCCCAGGGAAGGGTCAAACCAGCTGGCTTGAGATAGTGGAAACATAGTGAGAATGTGATTTATTCCTGCAACAGTGGAAATGAACATAAAGAAGTTGATCAAGGCTTAACTTCTGCCAGGTCTGCCCAGCTGCCTGCCCTGGGTTCAGCACGAGGTGTGATCCTGGCAGCTCAGTGGTGCTGCTGAGGCACCATCCCGTGTGGCTGCAGCCCAGCTGAGCTGCCTGCTGGGCAGGGAGCTGGGCAGGAGCCCCAGCTGGGCAGGAGCAGGGCAGGGAAAGGTGCAGTGCCCTCCCCTGCAGGCCTGCTCACTCACCAAACCTTTCTTCCCCCACTTAACATCCATGGCCAGGAAGGCTCTTGTGACAGTGGATGCCACACATTTTATTTCAAGGACCTAGTAGCTCTTATCCTTCTGTTTTAGAGCAAGGACATAATGACCATCTTTATGGTGCAGATGTGTAGGGGCACAGGCTGGACCCCACGGGCTACCCTGGCACCAAGCAGTGCCACATCCAGCCTTAAGAAAGTCCAAGCTGTCTTGGTGACCAGAGATGGGGTTCTTCAGACCTGCCAGCTTTCCAGCTGCTGCTGGTGCTTGAGCAGGGGAGATGTTAATAAGCAGGCAAACTTTTCCTGAGGAGTCACACTGACTTAGTAAAGGGCTCCTGCAGGGCTTTACATTCTCTATATCTTGCAGCCCAGGGATTTGGGAAGAAAGCAGGAATATTTTTCATCAACTGCTTATAGGTTTTGTATTAAACTCAACTGACCTAGATAAGTACTTATCCAGGAAATAAGATATTTAGATTAATTTCCTCCTTAACCTGAATGGCTGCAGTCCTCAGGTCTGTACCTGGGCAACATCCCCCCATTTCCTGGTAAACGGTCTTAATCCAGTTATGATATATATATGTATATATGTGTATATATATATATATACCCCTCTTTCTGTGGGTAGCCTTCAAATTCTTTGCCTCACAGCATTTTAGAACCAATGGTTAGGGCCCTCTTCTGGCAGATGGAGCCATTGGTTTAGTCTGCACTAGATGACAAAGATGTGCTTTGCACTTTGGATCACAGCAGAGATCTCCTGTATCTCCACAAGGTGGTAATTTGACTGTTCAGGGGTCTCTGTGCTGCTCCATCCACAGTGTGAATTTGCCCAGGTGCCTTTACACTGCACACACCCTAAACAGATCCTTAATTTTAAGTAGTACTGATGTCTTAAAGTTTGTGTTCTATTTGTGTCCAGAAAGAGGCAGGTCAGCTGAGGTGTTGTGACAAATCTGATACTTATGCTTGAAAAATACAGTTCTGTTAACTGTTTGTAACTTTTGTCCCTTGAAAATACTAGTTTATGACAATCACCAATATAAAACCTGTTGTCAGGAAGAATTTGGATATCTGGGATTTGTGTATCTTGCCCAGTGGAAAATAATTTGTCCTTGTTCACCCTTCTGAGAAGTGGTTTTCAGTAGAAAGCTTTACAATTAGATATGAATCTCTCTCCTGAGCTCTGGCCTGCAGCTTGAGAAGAGACCGTGTGTCCTGTAGTCACATTCAGAGGTAATAAAATCATCCCAAAGTGTATTTTTACCATTGAAAACAGGAAAAAAATAAAGAAAAAAAATACTGACCATGACTTGTGAGCTGTGATCTGGACCCGTGGTGCTGTATTGGAGGCCATTACACCAGGGCTGCTCTGTGGGGATGCTTGGAATGTGTGTAGGAAATGACTCTGACTCGTCAGGCCCCGTAGATCCTGGGAGACCCTCAAACCCATCAATACTTGGAGCATTTTTGAACGGTGAACCTTCTGGTGGGAGGGCTTGGGGACCTTCCCGGAAAACATCTTCACTGATCTGCCTCTTGTAAGGGTGAAAGGGGTTTCTGCTGCTCTTGAGAAACCTGTCATAATTTCCTACAGCGCTTTCTTCGTAACTGAAATGTCTGAATTTTTCGGTGCTGAAAGATGCTTTGAATTTGTTCTTGCCACAGTGAATTCCTTGGCTCGTGGGGTATCTTCCATGGATTGGATCCTGGGCTGGAGAAGCAGGGCTGGGGCTGTGAGAAGACTCTGAGCTTTTCCTTTCTGTCCTGCAGTCTGACTCATATGCTTGGCAGTTATAGCTGGGGTTCTCCTGCAAGGGATTATTGGCATTTAGTTAGGATTAGTATGAACAAATATTTTTGTTGTTTCCAAAAAATACATTAAAATATGTACTATTGATGCCAAAATTTAATTGTTTTAGCTAACTTCATGCAGAGAAGCCCTAAAAGATCTAAAGGGTTTTCTGGTTACTTGGTATCCAAAAAGTGTTTAAAAATTAATAAAAGCATTGAGGAGACTGAAGTAATTTTATTTGTGCAACTACCTTGGAAAATCAGGACATCTTAGGTAACTATTGACTAGTTGGCCTGACAATTCCAGGCAGAGGATGATGTATGATTGAGTGATGAAAGATAAAATGACAGGAATATGATAAGTGCAAGTCTTGTCATATGCAAGTTTAGTCAAATAAGCTTGATCTCATTCTCTGATGGTGTTAGAAGCTGCCAGATACGTTGCCAGTTACATCACTTCCTTTCATTAACGTTCCCCCTGAGACAGGTAGGCTCTAGCCAGGCATTTTCACCTTCCTGTCTCATCTCCTCCCTTCCCTTTTGCACTTTAGCAAGAAGAAAATAGCAGCTACTAAAGTGCTCTTTAATCTAGAAGAGAGAGACTTAACAAGAGCTGGTGTCTGGGTCTTGAAGCTGAAGACATTCAGCCCAGAAATTATGCATATTTTCCCTGACATCAAGGATGAGTAACAGCTTGGATGCCTTGTGAGAAGACGTGCCCAAGTCAGGAGCAGGTTAATTGTGCTCAGTGAGGGGAGAAATGCAACTCTGTGTTTCACACCAAGCCAGAGCAGATTGTCAAGTGGTCCCTTTCTTCCTTCCCTCTCTACATCCAAGTTGCTCTGAGAGTATTGGAGAACAGGTAAAGCAATATCTGCCTTCCTGAGGACCCATCTTTCAGGGGTCCCAAAGCCAGTGCTCCCCGCAGAGAGGAACAGGTACAGCTTTCCCAGTCAGTTCAAGTTGCTCTGAGAGTATTTGAGAACAGGTAAATCAATATCTGCCTTCATGAGGACCCATCTTTCAGGGGTCATAGAATCACAGAATCTTAGGGGTTGGAAGGGACCTCGAAAGATCATCTAGTCCAACCACCCTGCCAGAGCAGAGTCACCCAGAGCACATCACACAGGAACGTGTCCAGGTGGGGTTTGAATGTCTCCAGAGAAGGAGACTCCACAACCTCCCTGGGCAGCCTGTTCCAGGGCTCTGTCACTATCACAGGAAAAATTTTTTTTTGGATATTCACCTTGAACCTCCTGTGCTCCAATTTGCACCCATTACCCCTTGTCCTATCACTGGTCATCACTGAGAAAAGCCTAACTCCATCTCCCTGACACTCACCCCTTACATATTTGTAAACATTGATGAGGTCATTGCTGCTGTTTGATGAAAATACTATTCTCAGTTGTACTTCTGTTGGGGAAGGGAAACATGGTGAATATACAGGCAATATTATCCCAAAAAAGTCTCAGGGAATTCTCAAGCACTTGAGGATATTCTGCACTGGCAGGGAGCAGGGAAAAAGATTCTGATGTCTGTCTGCTTATTCATTTATTTTAGAAAGAGGATGAGAATTACTTTCAATGTAGCATTTTTTTTACTGGATTACTAGCCAGATAGATTGCCTGCTTTTAAAGTAATGGGATTTTAAGCAATCAAATAGAAAATTTAGCATGGAGCTTAAGATTAGCTGAGAAGAATAACTGAGGTTTCTGGGCTTCAGAAGTAAAGCTTTCAGTCTTTTCTTTGTTACAAGTTAAGAAGGATGAGATTTAGTACAGCAGTTGCTGAATGTTCTATCTGAACTTGTGGTTCTGAAGAAAGAGAACAGAACTGGGCTGTCTTACTCACAGTGTGCTGAGCTGGGGATATTGAATCCCCCTGTGTCTTCATGAGGTCCTGCTGGTCCCTTTCCAGAGAGTCCGGAGAAGAAAACTTAATATTTGTTTGATCCTGGAGTAGTGAAACCATCACCAAATCCACCTCAGGTAGAAACCCTGTTGGGACAAAATCAGATTGCAATAAATATTTTCTAAAACTTAAACTGGAGAAGAAACCACCTGGTTAGATGCAGATGGCTACAGAGCTGGACAACAACCCATCCTAGAATTCCTAATACAGCTGCATTTGAGCCTTCAGTGTTCTGTAGGTGCAATTACAATGAAGATGTGAGTTTATATGAGTTTACAACACATATTTTACAAAAATAAATAATCACTTTGTTTCTGTAGGTTCATAACTTAATGAAAATATATTGCTTGGGGGTTTTGTGAATTTAGCAATATTGGTTTATTGAGAAATGGTGAAATGTACCCCCAGTGCTCTCAGTGGGACTGTATCAAGTAAAGGGGTGTTTTGCTGTCATTGCTTAGACTGATGGTCACTACAGACTTTTCTTTTCATTTTTTTCTCTTTTATTAATACAAACCCTTCCAGCATTTTGCTCTGCTTTGCATGATTAAATGTATCTGAGATGTGCAAAGAACTTAATAATTCCATATTCTTGTTAGCTGTCTCTCCTCTCAAGTTCCCAATCTTTGATCTTTGGGTACATGGGACATATCTGATGCTGTTCCTTAGATTAAGAGGAATAAATTTGATCTGGTATTTTGTTTTATATCATTTATTTATTCCCCCCCCCCCCCCCCAGTCCTTACTCACTGTAACTATAGAGTAAAACTGTAAAAGAAGAGCTCTGCTTCCCTTCTCATGCCATGCAGGTGATGCTGCACCAAATGTGAGCGTGTGGAAAGGTGTCCTGGGTTTCTGGTTTAGATTTCAGGTGTACAATTTGGGGAAATAAAGCCACTTCAAGAGTTAATTTGCAAACTCTTTGGCACGTGTTTAAATAGCTGTTAGGTAAATAACTAAGGGTTTTATTAGTTTTAGTTAACAAAGATGTATCACTTAAAAATGTGGAAAACCTTTTTTTGCCCTTATAGTTCAAAGAGAAATCTGTGTTTATGATGAGTAAGACTGAACTGCCCCAGGGGGTGAAGCACAAGGGGGCTTGGAAATCAAGGTTGAGACCTATAGCAGCATCTCAGGGAAAACCAGTGTTAGGTAAAGTTCAGAAATGTCTCAGACACAGACTCTTCTCCCAGCAGCTTAACTGGGGGCTGATGAGGAGATGTGCTGCTGGCTGACTCTGATCTTGAAAGAAGCAGGTGGGAAAACTGACAACTAGGAAATAAATGTGTGTGTGTGTATTTGGGAGTG